AAAGATATGGAAGTAACCTATGTGTCCACCAATACAAGAATAGAAAAAGAAAATGTGGTATATAATATATAGTGGAATACTATCCATCAATAAAGAAGAATGAAATTCTGTCATTTGCAGCAACATATATAGAACTGAAGGGCATTATGTTAAGTGAAATAAGCCATGCTCAGAAAGATGACTGTATGTTCTCTCTCCTGTGTGAACTAGAATACTTGATCTCATGGACACAGAGGATAGAATGATAGGTGCCAGAGATTGGGAAGGGTGGGTGAGTGGGAGATGGGACTGAAGAGAAGTTGGTTAGTGGGTACAGACATACAATTAGATAGAAGAAATAAATTCTAAGGTTTGATAGTAGAATAGGGTGATGATACTTAGCAACACTATTTTGTGCATTTCAAAATAACTGGAAGAGAGAACTTGAAATGATACCAACACTTAGAAATGACAGATATTCAAGGTGATGGATACCTCAAATACCCTGACTTGATTGTTACACATTCTGTGCACCTAACAGTTACATGTACCTCATAAATATTTAAAATGTTATATATCAATAAAAGAAAAAATACATTTCAGCAGTTTCCATTATATTTAGAGTTATAAATCATCATTATAATGTAACTTTAGAACTTTTTAATTATTCCCAAAAGGAATCTCATACCCATTTGCAAGTCCCTCCCACTGTCCTCCGTACCCTGGCTGCCAGCCCTAGGAAACCACTGATCTACTTTCTGTTTTCTGACTGTGTATCTCTTTAGTGAGATACATTTTGGAGACAAAAATACTAAACAATAACATAAACAAAAGCCCTGGAAAGAAATCTCAAGTTGTGTGTAGCAGGTTTATTGTTAGCAGTAATCTTGTGATTAAAACTGTTACACCATCATATGTGTATTATAGGATAAGGCAGAAGATGAATATATTTATTACTATTATTCTGAACAAGATTTTTACCGTAAGGAAAAAATATACAAATGCAAAATAAGTGAAAGTAATGAAAACCTTATTTTATGAATAAGAAACATCAGTATGGCGGGGAACAATCCAAGATGGCCGATCTTAACAGCTCGGGATTGCAGCTCTCAGTCAAAGCGCAGAGAACTAGAGGACGCCACACTTTCAGACAAATTCTGGTCGCTCACAGAGCAGAAGATCCCCAGTGGAGGAACCACACGAGTCGCCAGCGCGACTCTTGTGGCCGGCGCAGCGGTTTTGCTGGCACCTCAGCTCGGCAGCTCTCGGAGCAGAGTAAACAGGGCCGGCTCCCCTTCTGACCGAGGTTTGGAGGACCCACACGGGTCCCCAGCACGACAGCACCTCAGCGCGGCAGCTCTAGGCGCAGAGTAAACGAGACTGGTTCCCCTTCTGACCGAGGTTTGGAGCCCGGGGAACGCAGGGTCGCCCATTACGGACACAAGAAGGAAGCCAGACAGGGGAATCCTCGGCAGAAAAGCACCATCAGTCTTAATGCCGACGTTCTGACCCTGGGAACTAACAACTTGGACGTCCAATCAAGAGACCTAATCTGAAAGTTGGTAATTTCAAAGACGACAGGAGGATAAATTTACAATCATGGGAAGAAACCAGTGTAAAAAGGCTGAGAATACTCAAAATCAGAACGCCTCTCTCTCTAAAGATGATCACAGTTCCACATCAACAATGGAATAAGGCTTGATGGAGAACGAGCGCATCCCAATGACAGAATCACTCTTCAAGGAATGGATAATAAGAAACTTCTGTGAGTTAAAAGAACATGTTGTAGCCCAATGTAAAGAAACTAGGAACTTTGAAAAAAGGTTTGACGAAATCCTATTGAAAGTAGACAACTTAGAGAGGAATATAAGTGAATTAATGGAACTGAAGAATACAATACAGGAACTCTGAGAAGTATGCACAGGTTTAAACACTCAAATTGTTCAAGCAGAAGAAAGGATAACAGAGGTCAAAGTCCAACTTAATGAAAGAAAACAAGAAGACAAGATTAGAGAAAAAAGGATAAAAAGGAATGAGCAAAGTCTCCAAGAAATGTGGGACTATGTGAAAAGACCAAATTTACGTTTGATAGGTGTACCTGAATGCGACGGGGAGAATGAATCCAAGCTGGAAAATACCCTTCAGGATATTATTCAGGAAAATTTTCCTGAACTAGCAAAGCAGGTCAATATTCAACCCCAGGTAATACAGAGAACACCACGAAGATATTCCTCAAGAAGAGCAACCCCAAGGCACATAATCATTAGATTCACCAGGGTTGAAACGAAGGAGAAAATACTAAGGGCAGCCAGAGAGAAAGGTCAGGTTACCCACAAAGGCAAGCCTATCAGACTTACAGCAGATCTCTCAGCAGAAACTCTACAAGCCAGAAGAGAGTGGGGGCCAATATTCAACATCCTCAAATAACAGAACCTTCAGCCCAGAATTTCATATCCAGCCAAACTAAGCTTCACAACTGAAGGAAAAATAAAATCTTTTATGAACAAGCAAGTACTCAAAGAGATTTTATTACCACCAGGCCTGCTTTACAAGAGCTTCTGAAAGAAGCATTACACACAGAAAGAAACAACCAGTATCAGCCCTTCTAAAAATATACCAAAAAGTAAAGAGCACCAACATAAAGAAGAATTTACACCAACGAATGGATAAAACAGCCAGTTAACATCAAATGACAGTAGCCCTAAATTTAAATCGACTAAATCCCCCAATCAAAAGACACAGCCAAAACCCAACGGCATGTTACATCCAGACCTGTTTCACATGCAAGGATACACAAAGACTCAAAACAAAGGAATGGAGAAAGATTTACCAACCAAATGGAGAGCAAAAATAAATAAATAAATAAATAAAAAGCAGGAGTTGCAATTCTCATAGCGGATAAAATAGATTTTAAAGCAACAAAGATATAGTGGTAAAAGGATCAATACAACAACAAGAGCTAACAATCCTAACACCCAGATACATAGAGACTTAGATTCAATGAGACAGAAAATTAATAAGGATATCAAGGACTCGAACTCAGATCTGGAACAAGTAAACTTAATAAATATTTATAGAGCTCTCCACTTCAAATACATAAAATATACATTCTTGTCAATACCACATCACATGTACTCATAGGTTTAAATGAAACATTGATTGGCCATTATTAATACCCATTTTTTTTTTCAGAATAAAGCAATATTTCCATTCACCCTCCCTCTCTCTCTTCCTCTTTCTTTCTCTCCTTTACTCATTTTTTTTCTTTCCTTCTCTCAAAAAGAGAAATCAACTTGTAAACCTCTAGATCCAAGTTGGCAATGTCTCTCTCATTGCTTGAATTCCTTCTTTCCTTTCCCTCCCTTCCTCCCCCCTTCCTCCCTTCCTTCCTTCATCCCTTCCTTCCTCCCTCCCTTCCTCCTTCCCTCCCTTCCTGCCTTCCTCCCTTCCTCCTTCCCTCCCAAAAAAAAAAAAAAAATCAGTATGAACTTAAGAAAAAAAATTCTAATTCTATCCACTGAAAGAATCTCGTTATGACGCCTCTGCAGCAATGAGCACACCTAGTACCTAGATCTTGATGTCTCTTTATGATTCTCTACGAAAAGCAAACAGAGCTTGTTGAAGAAACGTTTGATTCTGGAGCTGGATAAAGGAAAGTAAAAAGTAATTGGTGGCTTTTTTGTGTCCAGAAAGCAAGGAAGTGCTCAATGAAGGTCACATTAAAAGGACACAAGAAATTATACTTCCTGGCTAAATTTGGGACAATTTAAGTATTCCAAAAAACGGTGATGGTAATGGATAATCACAATTAAGTTAAAAATTACAAAAACAAGTGTATAGAAATATTAACAATAAGGGAGTGAGGGTGGGTGACATGAGGACAGCTCTTCTTTATAAAAGAATTCCTGCTGATACACAGAGAAGAAATGACACAATTAGAAAATCACCATGTTGTGACCCCCAGTGGAACAATTAATTTGGGCAGAAATCATTGCTGGTTGCAAAAATCATCACTGGATGCTAAAACCATTGGGTGAAACATGTTGGGCACTACAGGCACATGGTCTCAAAGTATCATGACACTTTGAGTATCATTTCATGGATCATACTTATTACAAAGTGAGGGAAAATACCTTTATAATGTAGAGATCCGGAGGCCACCACCTTAACCCAGTGATCAAGGCTGGCATCACCAGCAGCGGGACAGTCTGATGTATGTGCCTGCTAATGGGATGCATTAAGGTGTTTGTAACATCACCCATATAGTGTTCCTGCCAAAAATATTGAATTATAATCTAATTATGAGACAACACATCTGGAGTGTGAGGCATTCTATAAGACAACTGGCTAGGGCTCTTCAGAAAGAGCCGATATTATAAAACACAAACTAGCATGCAAAAATATCAGGGTGTGTTTTACACTTAAAGGACTCAAGAAATGTAACCACCAAATTAATTGTGTGAACATTGATTAGACCTTGGCTTTTGAACAAATTCTGTAAAAGATACCGTGGGACAACTGGGGATATCTGAATTGTAGGCTGTCTATGAGATGTTATTTTTCAATGGTTAATTTTCTTAGGTGTAATAATATTGTGGTTACGTAGGTGAATATCCTTATTCTTAGAAGAGTGTTGAAGTAGTTAGCAGTGGTGTGTTTTGATGTCTACAGAATAATCTCAAATAGTGGAGCAACAATAAATATAAATACAGAAAGAATGAGAAATCAAATATGGCAAGATGAGTGTAAGTGAAGGGTGATGGGTGTTCATTATTTTATTTTTTACAACTTTATAGATTTGAACATTTTGGTTTTTTTTTTCTTTTTGCGGGGGCGTGCTGCCAATTAAGGAGTTGCAGGGAGAACTTTAAACTTGCTGAAGGGGGTCTCATATGTGGGGAAGGCTTCTCCCATCTGCCGTTCCGGTGGTTTGGGCTGGGCCAGGCCATCTCTTCTGCCATCTGATGCTCTCTGACTCCTTCCCAAGCTGAGACATCACCTCCTCTCTTGTTTCCACTCAGGTGAAGACCCCCTTGTGGACGATCAAAATGAACGAGATATCAATTCAGTCGCTGGTGTTTTAAAACTGTATTTCCGAGGACTGGAAAACCCACTCTTTCCTAAGGAAAGGTTTCAAGATTTGATATCTACTATTAGTAAGTATTTCCCAGGTTAAATGATCAGTTCTTTGACAAATCATTGTTGGAGTTGAGCCACAGGCCCATTGCTGTGCTAGGCATAGAGGGGGAATATTATGAAAAAGTGTAGCCTGCATCCTTATAGCTGAAAGTGGAAATAATAAGCTAGTTTATAATGAAAGGGCTCATGGTTGTGGCACATACCCTGGGTAGAGAAGAAGCTCAGAGGACAACCAGAGGAACACTTGGTTTCATAGATCAGAGCCAAAAGAGTGCTGGGAGCAGAGTGTTCCATGCATGGTGCTAGAGGCTGGAAGGGGAAAATGGAGCAAGATGGGGAAGACCTTGAATGCCTTGCTAACATTCCAGAGCTTTTCCCCTTGGGTGAAGGGGAGCCATGGAAAGTTTAGAGGTCAGGTCAGCAGCATGACCAGCAAGGGAAATGGTGAAAGTAAGTTGACTGGGGATTTTCACTGACATTGCTAGTTAATGGTAAGCAACTGTTGTGTTTCTGTGGATAAAATCAGGAGGAACCCAGTCTAGGGGGCTGATGTCATGGCACCTTGACTGTGAGATACCCAAATCCAAAGTAACCTTTTAGAATTTTTTTAAATAAGCTTTTAACTTTAGAATATTATAATTTTAGTCATTTAGAATAAAATTCTAAATTTCAATTCTAGTCATTTAGAATAAACTTTTAAATTTGATTCACAGAAAAGTTGCCCCACACCCAGTTTCACTTGGGGTGTTTCTCACAATACTCTGAGAGATATTTGCAGCCAGGAAAGTGTCCCAGGAGATGAGAAGAGAAGAGAGAGGTTTGAGCTCTCTTTTATTGTGTGTGTAAAAGACCCTTCTGTTCCCTCTTCCCTCCACACTATTCCCTGCTCATCTTTCCAGACTTCTATACTGCAAGCTCTATTCTAGACTGCTAAAGTCTGACCCTGCCTGAGCCCTGTATCACTTGCTCAGCCAGTGTTTCCAGAACCCTCAAAAATCCTGTTCCTGTACAGGGCACTTATCAAATTTCAGGTCTAGGATGACTTGGAAACAGGGGTCAGAGATGAGATCCCAAGCATCTGCTAGACTTTGACTGATAGGTAGCTTGAGAGGTGGTGATATATTGGATGTTCATTTCCTGAGCAACTATTCTGTGTCAGGCCTGTGCTGCAGCTGGTGTTTGTAAAGAGTTTAATGAAACATGGTCCCTGCCTGTGTCTGTCAGGACTCACAGGTACCAGAAACCCAGCTTAAACCTGCTTACTTCATAAAAGGGAATGCATTGATTCAGGTACCTGAAAAGCTTAGGGCCAGCTGGACTCAGACCCTCACACAGCATCAGCAGACATATGCCCCCTCCATCTCTATGCCAGCTTCACTCTTAGGTGGGATCCTCCTCTCAGGGGCCCCCACCATGCTCCAGGTTTCTCTCCACCCAGATCCAAGAGGGCACCTCCCTGTGGGTTTCTCACAACCAAAGTCCCAAGAGTCGACTCTGATTGGTTCTTGATTAGGCCACACCCCTGCTGGGGAGATGGATGCTCTGATTGGCCAGGCCAGTATCACCTATGATCCCCAAAATCAAGGGTAGAGCTGGCTCCTCATCCAGGTGGGCTGAATATAGGAGGTGTGGCCTGTGAACATTTGCTGCATTGCTCTCTAAGGATGAAAGGCATGCTGAAAGGTCCCTTTGTGTTACAGAACTGGAGAACCCAGCTGAGAGGGTGCACCAGATCCAACAAATCCTTGTTACCCTTCCCCGTGTGGTCATCGTGGTCATGAGATACCTCTTTGCTTTCCTCAACCAGTGAGTACCTAGCCAAGGGGCCCCTTTTTGACTCAGGCCTGGCCTCCTTTGGGAGGGGGTGTCTTGAGACTTTTGCAGATGCTGTTTTTAAAGGAGAACATGGAACCCTCCTGGATTTTTTAGAGTCCCCCAAAAGACAGAAACCACAGGGGGAGGACTTGCCTTTCCCAGATGACTTGTGGGTAACTCCTCTCTCCTAGCCTCTCCCAGTATAGCGACGAGAACATGATGGATCCCTACAACCTGGCCATCTGCTTCGGGCCTACCCTCATGCACATCCCTGATGGGCAGGACCCTGTGTCCTGCCAGGCACACATCAATGAAGTCATCAAAACCATCATCATCCATCATGAAGCCATCTTCCCCAGCCCCCGGGAGCTAGAGGGACCTGTGTATGAAAAATGCATGGCTGGAGGGGAAGAATATTGGTAAGATGCCATTCCTCTTAATATTATTATTATTATTATCATCATCATTGTTGTTGCCACTGAACAGGAACAATAAGAAACCCTTCAGTTTTCTCAGTGCTTGATAGTTGATGCTTCCATATACATTTTCTCATCTGAGCTTCACAGCAGCCTCACATGAGAGATAGGTACATCAGTTAGGATTCTCTTGGTTAAAACGGACAGACATACAACTCAAATTGCCTTAAGCCAAATGAAATTTTACTGGTTTACTTAAGTAAAAAGTCTGGGGATATGTCTTCAGGTATAGCTTGATCCAGAGGCTCAACTATTACCACAAGGACTTGGTCCTGCAATCTCAATCCCTTGACCCTGCTTTATTCTGTCTTGGCTTCAATCTCAGACAGACTTTTTCTTGGTGGTTGCAAGCAGGCAACCAGCAACTTAAGATCTATAACTTACTCTCTTAGCATCTTCAATAGAAAAAGACCCTTTCCTTCCTATATGTTCCAACACAAACTCAAGAATTGTGTTTCATTGCTGAGGTTTGGGCTTGGTGAAGTAATCTCCTTGGTAAGGAGATGCAATGCTTTAACTGGGCCATGTGAGTCACAAGCCCATCTCAGGATGCAGGGGAGTGAACAGTCCCCACCTCAACTTCAAGAACTGAGTGTAACATTTCCCACCCTTGTCTCCTTTCACCTAGGAGTTCTCTTTTCCAGACAAAGTGAGCTCAATTTCTTTGCATGTTCAACATCATGTCAACAATCACTAGTTAGGCACCTCTGTGTACCTGGTATACCTGGTGCTACACTGGGACTTAGGAGAAATATTTTAGAACCTTTTCAAAGTCAGAGCTTTGAAAGCTTCCTCAGGCTAATACCTTAAAATGGGAAGACAGGAAAAAAATGTTTAAATGTGGTGAAGACAGGGAATTCAGGACACTAGATGACACAGACCAAAGCGTTTCTACTATTTCTTTATTTCGAATTCAGGAGAGCACACAGCTATATATTTAGGTATTACCCATACTGCCTTCAGCCAGGTGCCTGCAGGGGAGTTTGTTTTTTGATTGTCAAAGCATTCCTGGACTTTTGAATTGCCTTAGTACTGTTAGCATATTCGGGCAGCTGCTTCAAAGAAACAAGGTATTCCAGCCTTTGTGTTTCCTTCCCACGTGCCTCCCTGCATAGAAATACTGGGTCATAGTGGTGTCTAATCACAGCTCTCTAATCTCATTTGAGGCACTAGGGAGCAAGTCCATCCCTGTTCTGTAACAGAAACGTTAAACAGCTGGCAAGCATAATTTCTGGACAAAGAGAAGCTTTTCACACAGTTTTTGCAACCATTGCCAGTTCTCTTTTCTTGCTGCAATATATATAATTAGTGTTCTGAGAAGGGACCCACAGATCTTCGTGTACTTATCAAAGAACAATATACAATAACCATACTTTTCTTACTCCTATTTGTTTTCCATGAGACTGTAAAACTATTAATTCTGTGGTAATTTTGGAGTTTTAAAACCAAAAAGGGAGACTTGGCTGAGGGTCTCAGCACAGTAGACAACATTCATTCATTCAACAAATGGTTACCAAGCATCTGTTGTGGGCTGGTTCTGCGCTAGGAGTCAGGGATGTAACCAAACAAGATTGACCCCTGGTGCAGGAGCTTTGATGGAATAAGAAACAGAGGGCTCCAGAAGTGGGTCTCTCTGAGCCAATCTAGGGAAGTCAAGAGGGGCTTCCTGGGGGAAGTACAGACTGAGCTGAGACTGCAGAATGAACTGTAGCCAGTCCAGTGAGGAGTGGGCAAAGACCTGGACCATTCAGTAGAATGAAAAGTAGTTCAGTGTGGCCAGGAGTTCAGGAGTTCAGCAGTTCAGTGTGGCCACACGTGTCAGCATGTGTGACTGGAGAATTTTTCATAATAAAGTGCATATTCCTTTAAATGGCATTGCAAATGTCACCTCCTTTGAGAAGCCTTCCCTGACTACTCTTTATCGGTCCCCTCTGCTGTTCTTGTCTCTACACATTTATTTCCTACATAACACTATTTCAACTTGCAACTGCCTTATTTAATGGCCTGTTTACTTGGGCTTTTTTCTTGTCCCTCTCCCTACAAGGTAAGCAACATGAGGCCAGGGCTCTTGTCCACCTTATCTATCATCGCATCCCTCCTATGAGCACATTGCCTGGCATATTAGGACTCACTCAGTGGCTCTATAAAAAACAACTGGCTGACTATGTTAATTAACCCTTGCTTGAAGAAACTTATAATCTAGCTAGGGGGTAGTAGCTGGTGAAATTATACCACCACATTAACAACTAAATCTGATGGATCAGATTACTCAGCTACCATGCCCATCATGGCTGCCAGTCACTCTCACTACCTGCATCAATGGGGGCTTTTGCATGCAGAAAGATGGGGTGGCCTTTGTTAGTGTCATCTTACCTCCTGGGATGTGTCGCCTCAGCTATAAGACAAGAGAGTCAGGCCAGATGAAATAATTCATGGTACTTCAAAGTGTTCTTTTTCTTCTGGCCTGTGGTCCTTCCAATGATAAATGCTGGGGTTTTGCCACTGCCCTCTTGATCTTACAGAACATGTAAGCATTGACAGTCTTCACTGTGACAGCCCAGCAAATTCCAGGGCTAGGAGGGCACTAGGGGAGATTTTTGGGAAGATTTACGAGGAAGAGGCTGGGAGTAATTTTCTGATAGGAAGATCCCTGGAGTGGTTAGATGGAAGAGATAGGATGGTATAGGCCTGCATCTGAGCTGCGGGAGGGCCCAGAGGCCAACTGGACTTGTATGAAAGTCTAAAGATGCTGTGAAGGTAGATAGCCTCCCAGTGAGTCCCCTTCCCATGTTTCCTTACAGTGACAGCCCACACAGCGAGCCAGGGACCATCGATGAAGTTGACCATGACAATGGCACAGAGCCTCATACCAGCGATGAAGGTGAGTAAGGGGGATCCTGGGGACAAGGGATTCTTCCTCTGGCCTCTCATGCTGACCTATGTCAGCCCAACCACAGGGCTGGCCCATGTAGACCCCTTCAGCTTTACAAGTCATCCTTCTATCTTTCAGAATAGAGGAAGACCCAGAAAAACCTTCATGGTGTTCCCCGAGTCCCAGCATGGGCCTGACACAGAGCAGATCCTTGTAGGCTCACATTGTGTTCACCACATCCCACATCTGGCCCACTTCATTACTTAATGTGTCCTGCCTGGCCCAGGCACAAGTCCTAAGTGACACAAGTTTCCTAAATGGGAAGCAAGCTTTGTCCCTCCATCCTTCCCCCGTGTGGATCTGCTTTGTGCCAGGCCTATGCTGGGACTTGGACGTGGGGATGAACAAGATGTTGGTCCTTGAGGAACTCCCAATCTGTCACCAGATCTTGACAGGTTGGAAGTAGCTTCTCATGGTGCAAAGCAATAATGCCGGATTACAGGTGTGTCTGGTGCATTGGGCACCCTGTAGATTAAACCAAAGGGTGATGATCCTGGGAAGTGTGTGGTGAGAGAGAGAGAAAGGCCAGCTGAGACCTTTCTCCAGATTCCTCCACCCCTTCCAGACAAGAAGAGAGTTGGACTGGTCTTTAGGGCAACTGGACTGCGTAGACAAGCAATCTGAACCATATGCCAACTTATCCATCAGGCAGAGTAGGCACAATGCCAAGGGCCCATGATACTTGTAGAGGTCCACTAAAATGTTTTCTTTTAAAATAAGAAAAAAAATGAATACAATATCCAGTCTGGATTATATTTGTCTTTATACCAAGGCAGTTGTAAAATATAATTTTTAACATTTTTGAATGGAGGAAGGGACCCATGCAGGCAAAAATGCCTAGGACCCAAGAAAGTTAGAATACGGCCTGAGATGCACCAAGCACCTGGGATAGTTTTCCTTGTAAACATCATGGCTTAGCAGTTCTCTGACTTGTCCTTTGAGTTTCTCTTGTGGGACTAGGTTATGTTGGCTACCACATTTGTCAGGAGAGCAGGCAGGCACTCAGGTGACAGTTCTGGAAATTGGTAAAAGAGAAAGACTGATAGATGGGTTTTCACATTCTAGTAGGACTATTTCAGTTGCTAATGACATAACCCCCAACTCAAATTAACTTCAGCTTAAAAGGGAATAAGTTCCTTTACCTGAAAAGTCCCAGGGTTGGCATGGCTTCAGCTGGATCCAGGAGCAAGGGTGATTTGGTCAGCACTTTGTCTTCTTGCTCTGCTTCCCTCTGTGCTGGCTTCATTCTCATGTAGTGGTCTCTGGCATTTCCAGGCTTTCACCATCCTCCTACCCAAAGTCTCAGTAGAAAAGTGCTTCCTTTCTATAGTGTTTCTAAGAGAGGTCCTGGGGTGGAGTCTCACTGGACTACCCTGAGTCATGCACTCAGGCCTGATCCAGTCCCTGTGGCCTGAGAGGGAGCTAATGGTCCAGACCTGGGTCACAGGTACAGAAAAGCAAATCCAGATGTCACATTCAGCTTGATCAGACTCCTGAGAGGCTAGAGTCATCCTGAACTGAGATGTGTCCTGCAGAAGATTTGTTTGCAGATGGGAGGGTGACACCTTCTACTTACTCGTGGTGATTTGCTTTTCTCTTTCCTCCTTTTTCACTTCTGCCAGCCACCTCCAGTTCTCCCCTTCCCTTTATCCCTTTTAATAGCCCCCACCCCATCCTCTACATCTGTTGCTCTTTTTATTTCTGGGTCTCTTTCTGTCCGACTCTTTATCACTCTCTCTAGCTTCTTCTGTCTCTATCTCTCTCCCACTCCTGACATTTCCTCTCTTTTGTCTTGACTGGAGCACCTGCTTTCCTGGGGACTGAGGTCCTTGTCCATGCCTTTGCTGGTTTTTCCACAGCTCCTGGGACTAATGGGCAGAAAACTGCTCTGGACACCAGGACTGAGGATAAGGAGAGACAGACAGAATATCTAAGAGTCCTTTGCCAAATTCTAGTTCATGAAGATGTATTCCTGTATTTTCTTCTAAGAGTTTTAGAGTTTTAGATCTTACATTTAGGTCTTTGATCTATTTTGAGTTAATTTTGGTATAAGGTAATGGTCAAACTTCATTCCTTTGTATGTGGCTCTCCACTTGTCGCAGCACTATTAGTTGAAAAAATAATTCTTCTCCCCATTGAATGGTCTTAGCACCCTTGTAAAAAAATCCTTTCACTATAGGTGTATGGGTTTATTTTTGGACTTGCAATGCTATTCCACTGACCTATATGTCTGTCTCTGTGTCAGTACTATACTGTCTTTATTACTGTTGCTTTGTAGTAACTTTTGAAATTGGGATGTTTAAGTCCTCCAACTTTGTTCTTTTTCAAGATTGTTTTGGCTATTCTGGGTTTCTTGCAATTAGATACGAATTTTAGAATTAGCTTATCAATTTCTACAAAGAAGTAGGCCAGGATTCTGATAGGGATTGCATTAAATCTGTAGGTCAGTTGGAAATATTTTATTAAATCTTAGTAGTGTTGAGTCTTCTGATCCATAAACATAGGATGTTTTGCCAATTATTTAGATCTTCTTTAATTTTTTCAACAATGATTTGTAGTTGCCAGAGTTTGAGTGTTGTACTGCTTTTGTTAAATTTATTCCTCTGTATTCTTTATTTCACTTTTGAATTTATTATGAGTATGAGTATGGAAATATAATTGGCTTTAATATATTGCTCTTGTATTCTGCAACCTTGCTGAACTTATTCATCCAGTCAAATAGTTTTTATTGATTTCCTCATGATCCTTTTAATATATAAGATTATATTATTATATATAAATAGAGATATTTTTACTTCTTTTCCAATTTGGATACTTTTTATTTTTTTTTCTTGCCCAGTCGGCCCAGCTAGACTCTCCAGTACAACACTGAAGTGATGAGAGTGGACATCCTTGTCCAACTCCTGATCTTATGGGGAAAGCATCCAGTTTTTCACCATTAAGTATGATGTTAGCTGTGAGTTTTTCATAGATGCCATTTGTCAGGTTGAGGAAGTTCCCTTCTATTCCTAGTTTGTTGAATGTTTTATCTTGAAAGGATATTAGATTTTGTCGATGCTTTTTCTTCATCTATTGAGATAATTGTGTGCTTTTTGTTTTTATTTTACTGATAAGGTGCATTGCATTGATTAATTTTGTTTAGATGTTAAATGAGTTGGCAGTCCTGGAATAAATTCCACTTGTGGATAGAGCATAGTTCTTTTTATGCTACTGAATTTGGCTTGTGAGTGATTTTTGTTTTGGGGGGTTTGTTTTGGAGATGGAATCTTGCTCCACCATCCAGGCTGGAGTGCAATGGCACAATCTTGGCTCACTGCAACTTCTGCCTCCTGGGTTCAAATGATTCTCCTGCCTCAGCCTCCCAAGTAGCTGGTATTACAGGTGCCTGACACCACACTAGGCTAATGTTTTGTATTTTTAGTAGAGAAAGGGTTTTGCCATATTTCAGGCTGATCTCAAACTCCTGACCTCAAGTTATCCACCCAGCTCAGCCTTCCAAAGTGCTGGGATTACAGGCATGAGTTGCTGTGCCTGGCCCGGTTTGCTAACATTTTGTAGAAAATAGTCACATCCCTATTCATAAGAAACACTGGTCTGTAGTTTTTTTGTGATATCTTTGTCTGGTTTTGGTACCAGGGTAACACTTGCCTGGTGAAATTAGTTGAGCAGTGTTCCCTTCTCTTCTAGTTTTTGGAAGACTTTTTGAGGAATTATTATTAATTCTTTTTCAGATATTTGGTAGAATTCAACAATGTAGCCATCTGGGCCTGGGCATTTATTTGTGGCTATTTTTTTGATTATTAATTCAATCTCTTGTTATAAGTATTTTCAAGGTTATAATTCAATCTCTTGTTATAAGTATCTTTTTGTAAGAAATAGAAAATATTTCTATTTTCTATTTCTTCTTAAGTCAGTTTCAATAGTTTGTGACTTTTTAGGAACTTGTTAATTTTATCTAAGATCTCCAATTTGTTGGCATATAATTGTTTATAGTATTTATTATCCTTTTCCTACAGTAAAATAATGGTGGTAATATCCCTCTTTCATATCTGATTCTAATAATTTGAGTCTTCTTTCTTGTTTTCTTGGTTTATTTTGCTAATGGCTTGTCAATTTCATTAATCTTTTCAAAGAACTAGCTTTTGGTTTTATAATTTTCTCTACTGTTTTTCTATTTTCTGTTTTATTAATTTCTAATCTAGTCTTTATTATTTCCTCCCTTCTGCTTGCTTTAGGTTTAGTTTGCATTTTTTTCCAGTGTCTTAAGGTGGAAGTTTAGGTTATTGAGGTGGTTTTTTACCCCTAATATAGGCATTCACAGCCATACATTTCCTTCTAAGCACTTCTTTAGCCCCATCCTCTAAGTTTTGGTATGTTATATCTTCATTTTCATTCATCTCAAAAATTTTCTAATTTCTCTTTTGATTTTGTCTTTAATCATTAGTTATTTGGCAATATGCTGTATAATTTTTGCCTATTTGTCAGTTTCCCAAATTTTTTCCTGCTATTGATTCCTACTTTAGAAAAAACTCCTTCTGTTGAAGAAACCAATAATTTTATCCTACTGTGACAGAAGAACACATTTTGTATTATTTGTATCATTTTGAATTATTGAGGTTTGTTTTATGGACTAGCGTAAAGCATACCCAAGAGAATGTTCCATGTGCAATTAAAAAGAATGTATAGTCTCTTGTCGGGTGGTGTGTTCTGTAGATGCCTGTTAGGTCTAGTTGGTTTATAGTGTTGTTTAAGTCTTCTAGTTCCTCTTTGATCTTCTGTCTAGTTGTTCTGTTCATTATTGAGAGTAGGATATTGAAGTCTCCAACAATTATTTCTGAATTGTCTATTTCTTTCTTTTTTTGTCAATTTTTGCTTCATGTATTTTTCTGCTCTTTTATTAAATGTATTTTGTTTATACTTTTTTAATCTTGATAGATCAAAATTTTTAT